AGAGAGAGAGAGAGAGAGAGAGAGAGAGAGACACTGAGAGAGAGACTGAGAGAGACTGAAAGAGACTGAGAGAGACTGAGAGAGACTGAGAGAGACTGAGAGACAGAGAGACAGAGAGAGAGAGAGAGAGAGAGAGAGAGAGAGAGAGAGAGAGAGAGAGATTTGGCAGTTCCACTGAAAAGTGGAAAAATGTTACATTGTCCCCGCGATAATTACATTCGCATCTTTTTACGATAATAATGATAGAAAGCTGATTAGTTACGCGTTTTTGGGTGTCCATGGAATTATCGCAAACAAGGGCCAAGTTATGAATCATCCGTTAATTTTGATGGGGTCAACCCTATTGTTAATCCCATGGGAAATCCATTAGTTCTGTTTGCAATACCGGCGCTCCAAAATTTTGTTGGATTTTTCGAGGTTAACTGGAAACCTTTTGTGTTTTTGGTGGGAGGTCATTTAGAGCAAGTGCAACCCTTGTCTCCAGCGAATTGCCAGGTTGCTTTAAAGTTTAGTTCAGAAGAGTAATTTGATATTTTGAAATAATAAGTAATTTGATTTTATTTGTCGTTGAACCCCGTGCATCCCGGGGAACCGATCCGTGGGAGTCGCCAAAACCCTCAGTAATTATCCGAACGTTCATCTGTTCGGCTCAGTCCGGTCAAATAATTAGGTAATTGTTTTCGTTTAGTGAAAATGTTAGGATTATTTAAAAATAGTTATCGGCACTTACGCCTTTCCATTTACCGACAAAATTCGGGGTCTTTCGGGAGTTCCTCGCGAAAGTAGGCGTGTCTGCACCAATCAAAAGGATTTTGATTGAGCGGCGAGTTCTCACTTCTGAACCGTCATGAGACGTTCAGAAGTTGAGTTAGTTGCGTTCTGACCCCCGCAAAATAGTGAGTGCAGGTAGCGCGTGATTATCAGTGATAGTGTCCATTTGGGATTCTACTGGTCCAAGATGGGAAAGTGGGAGAAAAGGCGTAAGAACATTCCACAAGTGAGTTGGTTGGTTAATTAATTAGTTCTGAATTATAGTTCAGAACGCTAATTTCTATCTCATGGTGGTTTTCGCACACGTAACTTCAGGCATGTGGCGCGTTTTTCTTTCTCTTTTGAGGCTAAACATCTATTTAATTTCGCGTGATTAATTATTTAAAGGTGTCGATCAGATCGGGATTAATTTTTTCTTGCTATTGTTCGTATTTAACCCGATAATTCGCGCGTTCCGTTCCATCAAGCATGATGGTTAATTCCCTTAAAAGCGTCATTTCCGCAATAAATCCCAGCTCCGTTTATTCAATAATCGGTTCATTAAATAGGGCATTTAATTTTTGACTTATTAGAACTTTTGAGTTTTTCCGAAAATCCCTCCAGAAAAGGGGGAAATCGGTTGTGAGCTCCACTCCCAGTGGTTACTGTATTCTCGTTTCTCTCGCCCTCGTGGCAAGTTATTTTGTCTCTCTCTCAGTGGGGAATCCCTCGCTGAGAGCCTCAGCCATTTAAATGGGACGCACTCCCCTTCTGGCACCCCTCTAAAACCCTCCGCACCAACAAACTGCGGCTATCGCTGTACGCGAACACTTCTTCCCATTTAAAATCCACCATGTTTATTAATTAACATAGCGTGTCCAAGTTGTTAAGGAAAATTATGAATTTGTATTTATCTCACTAGAGTTTCCCGAGTACTTTAGCTTTGGGTTTCCGAAATTTCACTTTGCCGTTTTTGAGTAATCGCGAGTTTAGTTTTAGGGAATTTTTGGGATAGCGCTTTCCCACATGCGTTATAGGTATAACGCTGCGTTTTAATGTTTCTCTCTCTCTCTCTCTCTCACTCTGTCTCACTCTTACGGGTACTCGCATACCTTGTTCCTCAGTTCTCGAAATTCTCGAGCATTTTGGTATTAACGAATATTTTCATATTGTCGCTATTGTCCTCGTGTTTTCAATAACACCTGAGGAATTGGATTACTTCTGCCTTGTAATCGAAGCGATTACAATTATATTATTTTGTTCCTACAATTTCAGGTCGGATTTATTACTTTTCTTTGGTTTTGTTAGAAGAGCGATGATTGTTATTGAGAATTTTCGTTTTTTTGGGCAATTAGATAAAATTATGTTAATTATTTATTTTTTTGAAAATTTCAATCGTGAAACATGTAAGAAAAATGTGTGATTTCGATCATTTTTGGTTTTATGACCTCCCGATAACCTCGTTTCCACCTGAGATCCACCTCTCTTTCCGCAACCTAGCATACTGAGCGACCCGTGGACCGTGACCTTTCCCCAAATATCTAGTTCTCTTCGTTTTTGGTTTGTCGTTTAGGAATTTTCTGAGTGCTTGGACTTGAAATTCGTGTACTTTCGGTTTGATAATTCCGGCTAAAAATTATCTGGCACCCATTATTCGTTTTATTTTGAGTCAACTAGATTTATGAGGAGAAGGGCGAAGGTAACAGGCGTTTTTAACTCCCATGCAAAAATGTAACATATATATATATATACATACATATTGTAACGAGATTTTCTCGTTACGGGTTGAAATCCCCTTAAATCAGAAAGAGAACTGTTAAACTTATGATAAGAGAGACAGGAAGTGACATCTAGAGGCGGCTGAAAGAGCCGCGACTGGATGAGAAGATCCACAAACCGATGAAAGACCTAAGGCATAGCGGTTATGGGTGAAACCGCGACCCCTGGAGGTCTGGAGAGCGTTACTAGACTATCGGCATATTAGAATTCGCCCAGCATATGCTAGGGGAAAAGGGGCCGACGTACAGGCTGTCCAACTGGGCGATTCTATAGGCTATCTCGGAGTAGACGCGGGACCAACGGCCAGGTTAAAGGACTTGTGCCCCCGGGATCCCGTCGGGTTGATTGGTGGGGATGAGGTTACGGAATGACCTATCGTCGCTGAGATACAGAGACTAGGGGGAGAAGGCCCCAGTAAGATTCCGAGTTAGTCGCACGCGAGCGCTTGAACCGAGGGGTTGGAAAAATCTTTCGGTGTGTGTTGTGTATTAATCAAGTTAATAACACTGATGTTTAATAATATGAGATTTATTCTCTATTGGGTATTATTAGGTTACATTTAGTTGGATACGGTTCCATAATAATAACAATAATCAGTCGTCGCGCCCGGTGGTCATCTCTGGAGGAATTAACTCAATACTGTGTATCGATAATCTGTATTATCGGTAGGTAAATTAGGTCACGTATGTGACATCTCTCCCCTTCTGGATGTGTTTTTCCTCCCCGGGTCGTTTGTTTTCCTTTTTTCTAGGGAAGACCTTCGACGATGCTTGACTCCCGTATGCTGTCTCTATAACGGGTTCTACCATTCCCAACGCATTGGCGTCTTGGTCTTTTTCGTCATTGGTTGTGTGCTTGTTCTTCATCTTCCTGTCCTTCGTCTGCTTCCCCCTCGCTGGAGATGTTATCAGGGAGAGGGTCTTGCTGTTCAGATTCGTTGATAATTTCCACTTCACCTTGAGATTCATCGGAGTCCTCCTGCTCTGTGTCCGGCTTCTCCTCAGTGTAGAATTGAGTGTTGATGGTTTTCTTTTTGTGTTTTCTGTCAGTTGTGTCGGGTGTCTCGTCTTGCTCTCTCGGAAGCTGAACGAGCTGATTGATTTCTTGTTTGTGAATCAGTCCTGTTTCTCTCTCTTTTACGAGATAGTTTCGGTTGCCCAGTGCCTCCTGCACTGTTGCTACTATCCATGTTGGTCCTGCTGTTCGGTATGTCCTCATTCTGACTTTATCCCCGGGGTGAAGTCTCCGTATTTTTACTGAGTCGTACCCCTTGTTGGTTTCATGTTCGTTGTTTGGGGGGAGTTTGTCTAGTGCTGTACGTAGTTTTCTTCCCATCATGAGCTCTGCTGGTGAGGCTCCGGTGGATGTGGATGGTGTACTGTGTTGTTTAAGCAATATACGAGCTAGCTTGAGTTCCCAATCGCCTTCATTCAATTTTTTCAATGAGCGTTTTGCTGTTTGGACCATTCTCTCCGCCTGGCCGTTTGCTTGTGGGTTATACGGTGCGATGTACATGGCTTTGATCCCATTTCTCTGGTAGAAGGCTTTTATTTCCTCAGATGTGAAGGCTGTTCCATTATCTGACACGATGGTGTCTGGAATGCCAAATGTTGCGAAGAGTGCTCGCAGTACTTTGATTACATTGAGAGAATTTGGTGAACTCACCCGTTTGACCTCCAGCCATTTCGTAGTTGAGTCCACGACTATCAGGAATGTCGGTCCTGCCATAGGCCCAGCAAAGTCAACGTGTAAGCGAGTCCATGGTTTGTCTGGTGCTACCCATGGTTGTGTGGGTGTCTTCGCTGGGGCTGATAGTACTTCCATGCATTCTTGGCAATTTTTCACCATTGTTTCGATGTCCTGGTCGATTTCTGGCCACCAAACGTAGGATCGTGCTGCTGCTTTTGTTCCACAGATTCCCGGATGATTGGCGTGTAAATATTTAAGCATTTGTTTACGTTGAGTGGTCGGTATGACGACTCGGTGTCCCCAGATGATGCACTCTTTATAAATCGATAACTCCATTATTTTTTTGGAGAAGTGTGTGTATTGAGGTGGAACTTTGCCTGGCCAACCCCGTTGGAGCCATGTCTTCACTTGCCGCAAGGTTTCTTCCTTCTTTGTTTCCTCAGCAATTTCTCGGTGAGTGATTGGGTCTCTAGTGACGTTTTCTATCATTAGGACTTCTCCATATGTCTCCTCCTCCTCCTCCTCAAAATTCCCCTCCAGAGGTAGGCGTGAGAGTGTGTCCACGTTACCATTTTTTCGTCCCTCTCGATATTCCAATTCATACTCGTAGGCTCTCAATGTGTTAAGGTACCTTATCAGCTTTGGGGAAATGATTTCCGGAGTTGGACGATTTGGATTGAATATCCCCAGCAGTGGTTTGTGATCTGTGATCAATTTGAATTTCCTGCCTGCTAGGTACTGGTGGTAATGTGTGACTGCGTGTATTAGGGTCAGCGCCTCTCGTTCCAGCTGTGAATAATTTCGTTGGGTTGCTGATAGCGTTTTCGACGAGAAGGCTACTGGGTGTTCAATGTTATTTTTATCCACATGGGATAGTATGGCTCCGATTCCATACGGTGATGCGTCGGCTGCCACGATGATGGGCTTGGACTCGTCGTAGTGGCATAAGATCGGTGCTGATGCCAGATGCTGTTTCAGTCTCGTGAAAGCTTCCTGGTGACGTTCAGTCCAATTCCAGCTGGTCTTCTTTTCCAACAATCGATGTAGGGGCTCTGCGATATTGGCCCTGTCTGCGAGACTTTGATTGTGGAAGTTGACGCTGCCTAGGAATGCTTGTAGCTCTTTCACGTTGGTTGGAGCCGGCATTTTGACAATTGCTTTTATTTTCTTCTTTAGTGGCCGGATCCCTTGGCTGGATACCTCATATCCCAAGAATTCCATGCTTTCTACTCCCACGACACATTTCTCACGATTGATACGAAGATTGGCGATTTCCAGACGTCGTAGTACTTCCCTCAACCGTATGTCATGTTCTTCCTTGGTGGATCCTTGGATTTTTATTTTATCCAAGTATATCAATACTCCTGGGATGTCCTGTAGACGCGTTACCAAGAATTTTTGAAAGATTCTGGGGGCAATATTTAGACCATCCAAAAGTACATTTACCTTGTATAGACCCTTGGGTGTGCTGAGGGTCAGTGTATTTGCTGTCTCCTCATCAACTCGTAACTGCTTGTAAGCATTCTTCAGGTCTATTTGGGAGAAGATTGTTCCCCCATTCAGCGTCGCCATGGCTTCAGCTGATGATGGCAGTTGGTACTCTGATGACTTGATGCAGGAGTTGACAGTGACCTTGTAGTCACCTGCCACTCGTATCGTTCCATTTGGTTTTTTAACGAAAATTGCTGGAGTTGCCCAGTCTGATTGGTCGATAGAGGTTAACACTTTGTCTCTTTCCATGTCCGTTATTGCCTCGTGTACCGATTCCACAAGGGCGTATGGAACCCTTCAAGCTTTGAAGAATTTAGGAGAGGAGTCCTTTTTTAACTCGATGTGAATTGGGGTACCTTTGTGTCCGGAGAGCTCCTTTTTAAGGAGTCCAGGGTACTCTTCCAGTAGCTGCTGGTACTCAGTCTTAGCTTCAACTTGTTGTATTCCAGTTATTTTAATACCAAATGGTTCAAACCAGTTGTTGCCGAAGAGGTTTGGTCCCTTGTCTTCGTCGGTGATTACCAGTGGTAATTTCTTCTTAATTCCTTTGTATTGCACGTCGACTATGGCTGTGCCTTTTGTCTTGATGGGTCTGTTTCGCCATGCTCTCAGATTCGATTGATGTTTTGTCCATTGTGGCTCAGTGTCTTTCCAAATTTTATTGAAAGGTGAGATGTTGATCAGGGTTTCGTCTGCCCCATTATGGATCTCCATGTCTACTTTTATATTGTTTATTTTTACCTTGATTTTGAATTCAGCTCTTGATGTGTGATATATGTTACTGCTTCTAGCAGCATACACTGTGGCTTTATCGGAGTCTGAATCTACTTGAGTTGTGTGATGTGTCGAGGACTTTTTTTTATTTTTCTCTGCACTTTTCTTTCCAAAGCAGGCTGATTCGATGTGACCTGTCTTTTGGCAGAATTTGCAGGTGGCATTCTGGAATTTGCACTTATCAGGTGAGTGATTACCATTCCCACAGCGGAAGCAAGTTCTTTTATAGTTATTCACTTCCTTTCGTGAGCTCTTCGACTCGGCTCACTGCTGGAGCCTCGGCGTTTTTTAACATTTTTTGTTGATTCTCTGTCCCCTCGATGCTGCGTGCAATTTCTAGGGCTCTGTCAATTGTTATGCCAATTTTGTTCGTTGGAGATACGTACTCTTCGTGCCTTCGGCACAAGTACCTCTGAAGCTCGTGGTCTGCTAGACCTGTCACGAACCTGTCTCGGAGCATGACGCTGAGTGGTAGACTTTCCTTATCTCCACCGAATTTACAGTCCGCTGCTAGCTTTCGTAGGGCTGTGACGAAATTATCGAGAGTTTCTCCAGCCTTTTGGTCGCGTTTCTGGAAGCGAACACGAGCTAGTAGCTCATTGACTGGTTTGCAGAATGCTTTGTTGCATTTTTCTGTTATTGACGTGTATATTGCGTCTTTGAGTTGCTCTGGGGCCATTAGATTCTTAATTATGTCGAATGATTTAGAACCTACCGCCATTTGTAGCGTATTCTTCTTCATATCCTCCTCGGTAATTTTGTTAGCGTTGAAAAAATACCCACATCGCTCCAAGTACTCCTCCCATTTGTACTTTGTACTATTAAACTCAGGCAAGGTGCCGATTGTCGTACTCATGGCTTGCTGGATTGGAGCTGGACTTTCTTGAGTAGCGGTGTTGTTCATGTTATTTCCTTTAGCAACTACCTTCGAGGATTGCTGCTCTGATTTTTCTCCTTCCCCTGGCATGCGGGCTTTTCGGAGTCCAAGGTGGCTAAGCACGTGCTCTGGGCTTATGTGTTTGATCGATTATTCGAGTAATCTAGTGCTATTTTGCCTGGATTACTTCTACCCGTGGTATCGAATTTTCCTCGTCGCCATTTGTTGTGTATTAATCAAGTTAATAACACTGATGTTTAATAATATGAGATTTATTCTCTATTGGTTATTATTAGGTTACATTTAGTTGGATACGGTTCGATAATAATAATAATAATCAGTCGTCGCGCCCGGTGGTCATCTCTGGAGGAATTAACTCAATACTGTGTATCGATAATCTATATTATCGGTAGGTAAATTAGGTCACGTATGTGACAGTGTGCTGGAGTGGTGAATGGCTGAAGAAGCCATGGTAAGGATTTTTACTCCACGTAGCCTGATGCATAACTTTGGCGGCGAATATAGGCGGATGCCCCTGCATCCCCCGCGCGTAAATTTGAGTTATTTCGGAACGCAAAGTGACGACCTCGTCGTGTCCGGCGTCATCTAGTCTCGGCGGAACTATTCGAGGCGTACGGGCCCGTGGGCATGGAGTCGAGAAATCCTCCTGTCGGCCCGACCATACGCCGACGGTCCAGTACTACCCGGAGGCAGTGACGCACGATGACCAAAGCGGTAACTGGTGGTTGAGGACGTGGGTGGTCGTAGCATGGGTAACGTAGTTCCATCCTGCTCAGATCAGCCTCTCAACGTCCCAGGCTCTGAGGAGTCCCGGCTGATTCGCAAATAATTCGGAAAATTCTCCCGAGTATAAATACTCGGGAAGAGGAAGCATGCCGGAGGAGTCGAGCGACCCTCCGGAGGAAAGATGAATCCAATTCAGTAGGGAACTTATGCCGCGAGGCATAATCCTCGGCTTGCAAAGGCCATGGGGATGTGGCGGTTGTACTCCTGGTGGACCTCGCCCACTCTACCGTATCACGCTGATGCCAGCTGGGCAATCCATTGTCCAGCCAAAAAGTCCTTTGAGTGGACGAGTGTGCCTCAGAGGCCGGTTTTCGTCGAACCTCTCGTGAAAGTTCGACTGGCGCCCGATTATTGAGCGATAGAGACAGCCTAAAAAGTAGTTTGGATTTTTCCTGGGTGAACCACCTGGGAAATATCCTTACAAAATGGCGCCCGACGTGAGCCACGCCAAAGGAGTAAACCGAAAACCCTGGAAAAGGGTAAGTGGCAATTATCATGTAGATAATGCGGGGAAAATCGAGAAATTGTCGATTCAATCAAATTTCAAATCATATTTTATCAATTCCTTGAAAAGGGAAAAATAGAATTCAAAAGGCACGAAATTTCGGTCGTGGGGAGATTTTCTCAGAAACTCGATACTTTGTCTCCTCGAGACCCGGGGGAGATGACATTGAGAGGACGAGTTTATTTTTCCCCGACGAAAATTCGACAGTATTGATTTTTCGTTTGGGGAGATATTTTCCTTGCTGCTTTGAGCACTGTTTTCTTCGTCACCCGGAAGGAGATGGTCTCAAGTGCGGGGAATTCCCTCTCCCTAATGAAAAATTTTGAGGAAAAACGAGGAATGAGTCACAATTCTGAAATTTGCACCTTGGAAAAGGGGAATTTTTTTTTCCGTATCAAGAACAGATAGCCCGAATGATTTTTCATTGGGGGAAGTGTTTTTTTTCGTGGCTCTATGGATTGTTTTCCTCGTCACCCGGAGGAGAATGATTTGGACGCGAGAAATTCCGCTTTTCCATCTGAAAAATTGGAAAAGAACGAGGGAAAATTCAGTGGAATTGAATTTACTCCTCGCATATACGAAAAATGCTGAAAAACGCATTTACCAACACACGGTAGAAGAAATCTATTCTGGTAAAGAATAGTATTACCGACTGCAGGTGTCGGTAGTATGGATTCCGCCGCCGAGGGCGAGCCACGCCACGGACAATCCGCGCGAAGGATGAAATGAACCCCTTTGATTGATGTCAATCACAGGTATTCAAAAGGACCGCCTAAATATGTAAATTTAGGTCGAAGTTCAGGTCACTAGAGGGGACTACCGGCGGCGATTAATTTAATTGACACGCGCCCTAATCCCCCCACCCCCAACACCTGTGGAATTGGGGGAAATGACCACGGGAAGTGTCCTTTTCTGTTTTGTCTGCGTAAGCAAAAGGACGCAAAAATTTTCGGACGCTCCCTAGCAAAAAGAACAGTGCGCAAGTGGTGAATAACCCCGTGCGATGGACAAAGCCCTGGACGAGCTAGTACAGAAGGTGGTAAAAACCGCCGAGGCAGTACAGGCAGGTAAGTCGAGCTCCAAGGAGCTCGAGGAAAGCATCCAGGGTGAAATTACCCTGGAGGAAAGTGTCGGGGGAGCAACCACGTTGCCGCAAGGTAATGAGGCCAATCCCCTTAATGAATTAACCTCTCTGTCCATTGCAGAGAGAGAGAGCTCACTTCTGAGGAGCTGGCCGAGATGGCCTTGCTGCTCGGGGAAGAGGAAGACGAGCCCCCATCGCCTGTCTTCGAGCCCCTAGAGCGGATGGAGATGCACCCCATGGAGGTAGAGGTGTCAACTACGGCACCTTCTCCCCCTGTGGACGGGACTCGGGCGAAAAATCCCGAGGAGATTGGAGCTCCAGAGGCAACGCCGGAGGCTACGCCAGAGGAGCTGGTAAAGAGCTTGGTGGCGACTCTGTCGGCAAACCCTGGGCTGATGGCGGCTATGTTTGCATAGCTGCCACCTGTCAACCTGGGGCCCTCGACATCGGCGATACCGCCACCAGCACCGATGGGAAGGGCGGATAAAACCACCGGACCCTGGGAGAGGCAGACGGGGCGAAAAACCCTCGTCAAACCTCCCGCCAGGAGACCAGGGACCCCCCTTCTGAAGCCCAAGGCCGAGGAGCAGAGCTCCAGGGCCAAGGGACAAGGAAAAAGGGGAAGAGGTGGGGCGGAAAGGCCACATCGAGCAGAGCACTGGGGCAGTGGTGAGGCGCACCTACGCCGAAGTCCTGGACGGGAAGAAGCCGGAGAGCTCAGGGCCGAAAGGCACTGAGAGGAGAATCCCCCCAGCCGCAGCGCTGGAGTCCGAGGCCAAAGAGATAACCTCCGAGGCCAAGGGCAAACTCCCTTTAACAGGGAGGAGGAAGGGGAAGAGCTGAGGGGCGCAAAACCCTAAGGGTAAGGACCCCCAAGCGGAGGCACGGAAGATCCAGCTCCAGATACTCCATCACAGGGGTGAAGGACCCACAGAGGCGGTTGGGGCGAAAATCCTCAAGCGTAAGGCCTCTGAAGACGAGAGGATGGATACCTCATCCGCTCTCGGCGACGACGAGACCCCCAGGCAGGAGGAGAAGAGGAGGAGACTCCCACAATCCCTCATTCCAGCACGGCTGTGCTGTAACTGCAGGAAACCGGGGCATAAGAGCAGAGACTGCCTGGAGGCCCGAAGGCCCCACTGCCGAAAGTGCGGCATCCCGTGCAGCGAGGAATTTTGTGCCTCCTGCACAAAGAAGTGGGAAGCCATGGGCCCCTGTGTGCCTGAATTCGGGCAGAATGTGCTTCGAGACACCCTGACGCTGCTGAGGAAGCAGCAGAAGGCCGATGCAAAGGCGAGGGCGAAAGCACGCCTTTCCAAGCGAGCGCCGGAGGCCGGAAGGCCCTTCTAAAGGGAGCCGGGTTATGTGGCTCAGGGAGAGCACGGAAAAGGACCTTATTCCCCTGCAACCGAGGAAGCCGGCGAAATCTGAGAAAATAGGCAGGACGGAGCGGAGGGCGAGAGAGAGAGCTGAAAGGCTCGCTCAAGCTCAGTCGATGGACGAGGATGAACTCCCAAAGGCTGACGGAGACGAGAGCGAGGACTTCGCCTGAAAAGGCGGAAGGAGGAGCTCGGCAGCCGAAGTTTTGGACAGGGGGGGCACTTTCGTTATGCTCCCCGCTCATTTCTTTTCGGTTGGGAGAGAGGCCTGGCGGAAGCCCACACAAACAATAATTATCTGTATGTTGCATGCGAAATCGGGTAGTAGGCGCCATCTAGTGCCTCCACGATAGAGTAAACACTGTCGGTAAACTGCCACAGTTGGACAGTGGTCAGTAAAGTAGGAACCCCCTATACCTACTGGTAAGGAAAATACCGATGGGTGGAAAATGCCACTAGATGGCGCCACCTCAGTAGAAGTACCACTGGAAAAAGTCGGATAAGGATAGTTTCAATTGAGAAACATTCAAAAGTACCGCCAAACGCGAGAAATTGAAGGTTTTTCAAATAGAAAAGAGCGAGGGCTCAATAAAAGAGCAGAGAAGAGGGACAAATGACGCAAACACATGGAATACCTCCGGAAAAGTCCTCAAACGTCCGGAATGGCGGGGGACGGCAGGGGCAATACGGATAATCGCCCAGAACTCGTGAGCTTTCGTTGAAAAATACTTACTAGATGATCCTGGGGATTGATAGGGGCTTTTACTGAATAAGTAAAATTTCCCAAGAGCCTCCAGAGTAGCCGCCGACCCAAAGAAGGGGGCGCCACATACTCGGAGAGGGAACAAGAGTAGGGAGGACCCCGACTCTGAACTGCAGAGTATAAAAGGAGCTGCAGAGCTCGCAGAAAACTCTTTTCTGTCGTGAAGGCAGAGGTTGAACAAGCCTCCTTAACTCGCGGAAGGAAGGGAGGAAAGGCGTAAGGAAGCAAACGGAAGGTGGAGGGAAGGAGAAAACCCCTGAGACCCCGGTGGAACCGAAAGGTTCAGAAATGGATCCCGAAAAGGGAGCCAAAAAGAAAACGCAGAGGAGTCGCACTGGAAAAGTGACGACCTCTGAGAGTAGTGGTGGAGAATCCGTGGCTGAAAAAGTCTCGAAATCTGAACCAGAGAAAAAGGGGGTGCTCTTGGAAGAGGAGAGGGCTAAAAGGCCAATCAGTCCACTGGCGAACGATTGGAGCCTTCCTTTGCCAAAGGACAGGCCAAGCCAAGGGGCCGAAAGGTCATCAGAAGACCCAGCCTCTCGAATGGCGATA